GATGAGGCCAACAGTGGTAGCTTATCCTTCACGTTCACATGAATCATAGGTTTTGTGGAGAAAGTTAGTCGTAGTTCAGCTGCGAAGAAGGTCTTCTTGAGTGAGCGCGACAGTCGATTTTTTAGTATTTCCGCAGATATATCTCCATTGAATTGAAGGTTCATGTAGAGCGGTTTCTTCGGGACGCTATGCATGGGCGGCTTTTGTGGCCTAGGATTCATAGATTTTGCAATAAATCGTTCTGGGTAACAATTCTCGACGAGGATTCTCTTGAGATTGTCCAGTTCATCTTCTACGGTGTCCGGGGTACAAATTCTGCGAACTCTGTTGCTAAGTGAACGGATCAGGTTCCGTTTGGTGTATAGGGGTACCCAACTGTGGAAGTTAATAAGCTGTCCGTTCCATGTTGACTTTCTGTAGATAGATCTTTTCAGTGTTCCATCGTGTTCTCGTCTTGTTAGTTGGATGTCAAGAAAGGATATTTTAGAGTTGGACTCTTTCTCCAGCGTGAACTGAATTGCGGGGTGGCACTTGTTAAACGACTTCAGGATGTCGTCTAGATTCTCTTCATTGTTGAAAGTGTCGTCGACGTATGTCTTGTAGATTCCGAAGGTATGTCATGTTTTTCTCGTTCTCGTTTTCTTCATGGCAAAACTCGAAAACACATGCATGAAGAAAATGATCGATACCTTCGGAATCTACAAGAGATACGTCGACGACACTTTCATTATCGTCAACAATGAAGAGAATCTAGACGACATCCTGAAGTCGTTTAACAAGTGCCACCCCGCAATTCAGTTCACGCTGGAGAAAGAGTCCAACTCTAAAATATCCTTTCTTGACATCCAACTAACAAGACGAGAACACGATGGAACACTGAAAAGATCTATCTACAGAAAGTCAACATGGAACGGACAGCTGATTAACTTCCACAGTTGGGTACCCCTATACACCAAACGGAACCTGATCCGTTCACTTAGCAACAGAGTTCGCAGAATTTGTACCCCGGACACCGTAGAAGATGAACTGGACAATCTCAAGAGAATCCTCGTCGAGAATTGTTACCCAGAACGATTTATTGCAAAATCTATGAATCCTAGGCCACAAAAGCCGCCCACGCATAGCGTCCCGAAGAAACCGCTCTACATAAACCTTCAATTCAATGGAGATATATCTGCGGAAATACTAAAAAATCGACTGTCGCGCTCACTCAAGAAGACTTTCTTCGCAGCTGAACTACGACTAACTTTCTCCACAAAACCTATGATTCATGTGAACGTGAAGGATAAGCTACCACTGTTGGCCTCATCAATGTGTATCTACCAATTCACCTGCTCGTGTGGAGCCAGGTATGTCGGCCGTACCCAGCGTTCGCTTTCCAAGCGTATCACCGAACACTTACCAGCATGGTTTTACAAAGGAGAAAAGCGATGTCCCCGCAGCTCCATCTTAGAACACCTGATAGAATCCGGACACCAAGCTGCACCCCAAACAAACTTCAAAGTCGTCTACAGAGTAAGAAGTAGTCTTCCAAAAGGTGTACGAATCAGACTTCTTCAAACTGCAGAAGCAATGGCGATTCACTTGCTAAGCCCTGAACTCTGCATACAGAAGAGGTTCGTTCAATCACTAAACTTACAATGGACTTAACCTACATTATTACCTGAAAGGTAAATTCTACCTAATTTTTTCTTTTTTTTCTGTCTCTTCATTGGTATTATTCTGTCTTCTCAATTGTAATATTTTGCATTTTCAACTTTCTTGTTCTCTACCCCTACCCGATTTAATTTCTACACCTCACTACCACTTTAATTGACCTGACCAACGCTCAATTTATAGTCATTTATGTTACGTCATCCAACTTAATTGCTCAATTTCATTTCTAATCTAAATGGCATTATTATCTACCCCACTTCTACTTAGTCTCTACCTGTAATTACCTCTGTTGCTAACCTGACCTAAGTTAAAACATTTTAGTCAATTGTATTACGTCATCTAACTTACTAACTCAATCTTAATTTAGTTGCTGTCCAATTAACTTTGTTTCTATATTAGATCATTCTTTTATTACCTGATCAATTATCTAATTTTGACAAACCTCATGTACACACACACACTCAAATAATTATATATAAATGCGATTGTACAGCTATGTGAATGAATTCGCCGAAAAGAGTCTCTTCGCTGAACGTCTTTTGAAGTGTTCAGCCCAGTGTTTTCTTTGCTCCAACTCTTTGTTGATTGACTTTCCATTGTCATCCTTTACTGGCTTAATCTGTGTCGTACTTTTGCCTGATAGGTGCCTTGTTTTTTGGTGGAGTATGGGGAGGTCTTGTTTTTCTGCAGCTTTTTCTGCTTCACTTGACATGGCTTCATAATATTTTCTTTTGTCTTCCCGGCACTCTTCTTCACTCTTTTGTTCAGCATATTGTAGCTTGCATTCAACTCCTGCTTTTGTTGCTCGTTGGTGCACTGGATAATCTTTTGTTTCACTGTCCTTCTCTCTTCTATTAGTTTCCAAATGTCCGCAGTGAGCCACTGAGTGTCCTGCCTCTTCTTTCTGCCTAGAACTTCCATGCAGGTTTGACTCCACACCGTTTTCAAGTTGTCCCAGTGCTTTTCGACGCCGACTTTTTCGCTTGTGTTGATTTGTGTCTCGACTTTGTCCTTTATGCTTGCAATGAAGATGTCCTTTGTATCTTGATCCTTCAGTTTTTGAGTGTTGAACTTGTCTTGTGGTCTATCTGCAGCTCCTGTTTCCCTGAAAGATTTTAATTTGATTTGGATTGTCCCTTGAAGGAGATGGTGGCCTGAGCCAATGTCTGCTCCTCTTCTTACTTTTGTGTGCAGTAGGCTGCACCTCCACTTTCTTGAGCAGCATTGAGATGAAGTCAATTTAGTTTGTGGTTCGCCCATCTGGTGACACCTATGTAGCCTTGTGGATATCTTTGTGTTTGTATACGCTGCCACCAATCACTAGTTTGTTGAAGGCGCAGAAGTCACCGAAGAGTTCTCCATTTTCATTCATTTCTCCAAGACCTTTCTACCCATGATGAGTTCTCTTCCAGTGTTGTCTGGTGCCAGTTTGGCGTTCATGTCTCCCATTAGTATTTTAATGTCACCAGCTGGAGTATTGTCAATTGTTGCATGTAGTTGCCTGTAGAATTCTTCTTTTTTTTCAATATCTTCGTTGTTTGTGGGTGCATAACCTTGTATAATTGACACTTTCCTTCCTTTGGAGTTGAATCTGGCGGTCATTGGCGGTCTAGGCGAGATCGCCTCCCATTGCATCAGGGCCTTTGTTTCCGTTGGTGACATAATGATAGCCACGCCCTCGGTGTGCGTGTGGTTATCTTCTGGGTGACCGGAGTAGATCACTGACTCACTCGTTGACAACTTGATGAGTCTGTTCCCGTTCCATCTGCTTTCACACATATTCCCAGTACTTGAATTCCGTATCTCTTCATCTCGTTTGCGATCTGTGCAGCTTTTCCAATCTCGTACATGGTGAGGACGTTCCATGTCCCTACAGACTTTTTCTTTTCGTGCAATGAGATTCATCGTGCTGAAGTTTCTGTAGCAATTTCGTTTACAGGGTGGGGTTGCTAGCCTCACGCCTGAGAAAGTAATTGTTACATTAAGATATAGTTAAGAGAGAGGCGACCTTGTGGGTTGCTCCCCTTAAAACCGAAAAACAAGGAATAAACAACCAGAACTACACCAGCTAAAGGAAAATAATTCACAGCAAGAAGGAAAACAAGCGACAACAACAATAATAATATCACAGTTAGGTACAGTTAACCAAAATGGTACCAAAATCATAGACTCATTTACTTGAGCCAAATTGAACATGTAAAACCAACAATATATACAGTTATAGATATTAGATAGTGATAAACAGTCACAATATACCAAACAGATATAGTATTATCTGTCAAAAAGATTATATCCACAAATTCATTGTTTGAAAGGCAAATAATTATCATAAGCCCCACAGTTTTTTTTTGGCAAAAAACTTTACAGAAATAAGAGTTTTATATAACCTCAGATATTTCACTTAAAATATAAATTTTTCATTCTTATTGATTGTTTATTCTGTGACTGATTGACTGGTTTCAAGATAAAACTTTGCACTGATGTGCACCAGTTCGGGTCGCCACACTCCACTTAGCACACAAAAGAAGAGAAGAAAGTAAAAGGAGATTAAAAACACAGATAATAAACAGAGATATGAGGCAAAAGATTAGTAATATGAGGTAACAATATAGTTTTATTGGGTATAAGTCACAAGGAGTGGATAAATCTGCACCAACCATTGAGAACGATTCTGAGTTATATCATAAATTGTCTCCAGCCATTGGTGTTTACCGTCCCGAGGACCCCACCAGTCAGAAAGTCTACACCTTCTTATTTGATTGACTTAAACTAACTGTTGTGGATTTCATTGACTGATAAAGTCATTTTTTGTTTGACCGCCAGTGGATGTGTGAGATGTTGTTCAGTTATATTGCTTAAATATTGAGTATTGCATGTCTCATTTATGTAAAAGTTTAAAGTTACATCTCGTCTAAGTTTTTGAATTCATCACTTACATAGTCTCACTTTCTCATAAAACATTCAGTCTTCATTTAGTAACCGTTGCCCAGTACTCTGGACAACGATATATCTATGCACCATTCTGATTCATGTTTGAACTATAACAAGACTGTGATATAGATGCATTCGTTAAAGTGTCTATGCGTTCAGTCAGGCATATATGAAACTGGTTATGCCCTTATGACCAGTCAATGTAGAAATTGTTCTCTATTGTATAATTACTTGTAATTCAGTATTGTTTATTAACTCATATTGACAAGTCGCTTTCATTATGTGTACAGTAGTTACCGTTATGTGGTCTATATATATATATATATATATATATATATATATATATATATATATATATATATGCTATGTGTATGTAATGTGTAGTTTCTCTTCTTTTTGTTTTGTTTATTCAGACTTAATGATAGAATTCGCTCATGGACATTTGATGAAGAAGCTTCCACATCGTTTATACAGGTAGGCAAATCTTATTTTCATTTTATGCAATTCTAAAATTAATAAGGAGGCGGTCTACTCAAACACGTTTAGAAATGCTTATATATATATATATATATATATATATCACGGAATATACTTACTGGATCATAGGAATTATTATAAAGACGGTTGCAGAGAAGAAAATTTTCCCTTCGAAGAAGTCATCAACTAGACTGTACATTCGTGTATTTACATTAAATGTGTTAGAAAGTTCCAGAATTATTTATTTCCCGTCAGAGGTCAGATTAATAAGATTACTGAGTGTAATAAACAGAAGATAGGTAGTGCTACTATTCTAGAAATATTTCAGGTCAAAGATCAAATTAGAAATTCAAATGTGTAATAATCAGGAAGATCGAGTGGAAAAGACAAAGTAGGATCATAAATACTGGAAAACTAGGCAGTTTGTATAATTACGGGTTAAGGATGTAGTATTAACGAAATGGGTAGGAGGTTCGGACATATAAAAATAAAAACAGTAACCAAATCTAATAATGCTGATAGGGGCTGAAAAGGTAAATATAACAAATAGACGAGAAGGTTGGATAGGATAATCATTATTGGGGGACTGACTTTTCATTATGACAACGGTAGGGACAACTGTTGGACGTATTTCTTTTAGACGCATTAGAATAGGCTTGAGTTTTTGAATCGCCAGTGCCTCAGCTATTCCTGGATGCCTTGATATCACTCCCTTTGGTAGGTTGGATCGGATCCTATATTTTTTTGAAGGACTTTTCATATGGGGCTGGATGTTCAAAATGCACCAGATGTTCTGCTATCGAACTGTATACCCCTTTGCGTTCTCCAGGATCGTCTTGATGACTACCTAAGCAAAATCTTGGTGATACCATCTGATGATGAAAAGTTTCAAAATCAGTTTCCACAGAAAGATCCCACCGAACAGACGGAGCTCCAGCTAACAAACGTATTAAAGAAAATGAAAGAAGAATCCATTATCAGTTCAAAACTATACGACACTTATTACATTTAGTAATCTTATTAATCTGACCTCCGACCGGAAATTATTCTGGAACTTTCTCACCCAATTAATATAAATACATGAATGTACAGTCTAGTTGATGACTTCTTCGAAGGGAAAATTTTCTTCGCTGCAACCGTCTCTAATATATATATATATATATATATATATATATATATATATATATATACGCATTTTATTGGTAGCCGCACTTCAGGAATCAAGCATAAGATCTTAATTATAAGTTTCTTAATTATCAGATTCTTTTCACTAATCTCCTTATGTATCAGTGCGCTTCACTAAGATATACATGTAAATTTAAATCACGGGTTTCCTGATTCATACACTATTCGCAGTTGAATTATAGTCTTCAGTCTTCATGCCTCTTGCTTCCTCAAATCTCAGTCTTCGTGGAGTAAGATACCAGTTCGTGTCCTGCTGTTTATATGCATTTTTGGTTGTATTGGAAGACAAAACCTCTGTTGAGAAGTGTATAATATTACTTGTATGATGGCTTCTTCAGTTGAATTACGTTATGATAACGTAGGCAACGATTTGTAACTCAGGTGGATACCTTACGATGTGGTTGAGTTCTCTGAGATAAATCGTCTAACTGCAAAGCCTTCATTGTTCTTCAGTAAATTCTACTGTCCGCAAATGTGTAATGGTTGTAGATAACATTACTAGATATTGGTTTGTTGTAGGGATTTTGTTTGATTGCATGTCAGCTCATGATCAAATCCTGCATGCAATTACTAGATATATCATTTACATACAAAAGAGAGGCTGATAGAGTTCCGTCTTCAATAAATAAATTGATAAATTCTCTTTATTAAAGTAGTTTGAAGAAGGATGTTGGTAAAGCTTTTATTCCAGTTATCTGGTTCCATATTAGATGAGTTCATTCAAAATAACACGCACACACACACATAATGATTACAACATTATTAACTAGATGATATTTTGAGTACATTTGATTGCTCATGAAGATATATATTCACACAACTTTCTCACACTCTTTTTATAGCCTTAATCTTTCTAGTTATTAGTACCTACTTGGGCATTGAAGTCACCTGCTAAAACAACTATATCTGAGCGTTTTGCCTTTTGCAGCAAGTCAAACAGTTTCAGGTAGAAATCATCCTTTAGTTCATATGAACTGCAGTCTATTGGAGCGTAAGCGGAGACTACAAAAAGGGAACGACAGGTGGCGCCGTCTTTCCTTCTTTTAACGGACCCATTCAGACGGACCGCACACATACGACTATCTACTGGAATCCAGTCGAGGAGTGATTTTTCCGCTTTAACACTCAGTGCTATCCCTACACATGTGAGTCCTCGCGAGCTAGCTGAGGGGTCCCCTTACATCCTAAAAGTGAATTTTGCAGAGTCACCTTGTTGACCGGGTGAGGTTAAAAGTGAATGACCACACCCAGGTCTTGTATACGTTTCTCCGAAACACAACATACATCTATGGCACGATATACCAGAGTTATTGTTAGTGATGCCTGTTGTCCGATTTGGCAGAGGGTCCTGATGTTAAATGTTCCTATACGAAGTTGGCGACGTGACTTTAAAAGGCTATCTGGGGTGTTCCTATGGCTCTCATCATTATTTGTGGTCACAGAGTGAAGTGAAGATGCCTCTCCAACCTGACGAATAGTACTACCTGTAGTAGGGAAATAAGATGATGAAGATGATATGAGTAGAGGAGAATGGTGCTCAGGAAGGCTTCGTGTGCTTTTGGAAGTGTGTGGGTGGTTGTTACTTCCTGGCTGCCCACACCGTGGAAGTTGATTGGTTCTTCGGGTACCTGAAACAGAAGGCCTGACTGATAGCTGCTACCTTGACTTGGTGGTCGGGCTTTCATAACGCGATGACCCAACAAGCTACACTGGCTGGAACCAATGTTCCTGCAGGTCCTACCATGCCGAAGAAAGATTCTTACACTATGCTGGTAACTGCTTTTAGTCTAATCGCTATCCTAACAACCTTCCTGGCATGGTAGGACCCGCAGGAACATCGGTTCCAGCCAGTGTAGCTTGTTGGGTCATCGTGTAACAAAAGAAGACAAGGGCTGGCAACAGAGCGTTTTATTACGGAAATCAGCACGTATTTATATATATTTCATGTAATTATTACAGCTTATTCAAGCAGACAAACAGTCTCCTGATTGGTTGTTTCTGATTTCTCGGAAAGTTAAGCCATATATCTGCTAATCTTATTTGCCCACGTTAAGTCTGCTGTGATTGGTTGTTGAATCAGCCTTGTTCATATTTTCTTACGGCCAATATTAGTGACCTAGACATTGACGTAAATTAATGTCTACCAATTGGCTATCAGCCTGCTCTCACCACAATCGCGATGTGCAAGCCTGACCACCAAGTCAAGGTAGCAGCTATCAGTCAGGCCCTCTGTTTCAGGTACCCGAAGAACCAATCAACTTCCACGGTGTGGGCAGCCGGGAAGTAACAACCGCCCACACACTTCCAAAAGCACACGAAGCCTTCCTGAGCACCATTCTCCTCTACTCATATCACCTTCATCATCTTATTTCCCTACAATTAGTTATTAGTACAATGATTTCACGCTACAGATCCACTAACCATTGAGAATTATCACAGTTATTTTTGCCTCAAACAAATATCACCACCAGTGCAATCCAGGATGCGCATTTCGTCCTATTTGGGACTCGTCAGCTTACTGGATGTACATGCATTCCTCAGTGAGTGATGATTTTCCTCGCATCGAGGCTCGAATCCAGTGCCCATAGGTTTAAACGCCAAAGCGTTATCTACTAGTCCAATCAATCGACGGAAAAATCTAAAATTGAATTAAATAATTAATATGACTCGTTGCAGAAGAAGTGGCTCTCATGGCTCAAGTTGTCTAGTAGATAACGCTTTGGCGTTTAAAACTATGGACACTGGGTTCGAGCCTCGGTGCGATGAACATCATCACTCACTGTGGAATGCAGGTACACACCCATAGCTGACGATTCCCGAATAAGACGAAGTGCGCGGTATCCTGGATTCCACTGCTAGTTACCATCCACCAATTAAGTCATAATAACATGCCCAGACATCGTGGAAAGCATGTGCACAAAAGGCCTACATGTCAACCTGAGACCGAACACTTCAGTTCAATCAATCGATGGGAAAATCTAAAATTCAATTAAATATCAACATCATTGTTAGAGAGGAGAAACAAATAAGAAGTTCATCAGGGATATCTTCTCAACGATTTAGTACCTTAAAAACTGTATGATTGCATTTATACACATAAATTTGCACAGTTACAATTATTATTCATTTTAATGTAATAACGAAGACAGACTAAGACAGATATAACAGTTTGCAATCTGATATAAATATTCTAGAATAGTAGTCATAAAAGATGCCTAAATTATAATGATAATAAAAATGTAATGACAAATAGAAAATCAACTGAAAGTATGGAAATTTCTACAAAAATTGAGGATCATTCGAACCTAGATGGCCAAGTTAAGGACAATGTCTGAACTAGCTTCTTTTGAACTCATAAAGTAGGCCTCTTAACCTGAATCCCAATGGTCTCAGCAATATTTAGTAATCGAACTCTTAAGGAGAAGTTAAGATTTTTTGGTATGCGGTAAGTGACTTCAGAAGCCTGATTAACATCAGTCTTGTGTTCTGTATCCACACGATGAAATAGAATATAGCTACGAACAGATTTTATTTGTCCTTTACTTAATCACACAGAGTGATATTCGGAAATCTGGCGAGAAACATGCCTAATTGTACGGTGTATGTAACTGGTTTCACAGGAGGAGTTAAATTGATAGAAACACATGGGAGAGGTGAAATTAGGCAGTTTATCTTTTATTCCTGAACGAAAAATAGGAGTATTTTTGAAGACACAGTGTAATTCAGCAGAACTGAATGCTTTTCTTTTTTACCGATTTTTAAGGCGTTGTGTTAGTATCTCGATGTTGTACCGAGGAACTGAATTTGTAAGAATTAGGCCTTCCTAGGAATTATCAGTACCTTGGACTGCTTCGATTTTAGATTCATATTCTTCTCAATAAACTTTTCTGGATAACCGTTTTCACTTAGCAACCGTTTAATATTATGAAGTTCCTCATTCATCCGAGCAGAATGCTCTTACTCTGTGAATCAAGCACTTTATCAGATTGCGTTCGTACTTGAAGGGCACGAAGCTGAAGAAATGAGTATACTGGCCCGTTGATGTAGGTTTTTCTATATACACTTCTTCCTACTGTCCCATCCTCTTTTCTGGTCATGAGGACGTCTAGAAATATAATAAATGGAGTCTTTATCTTTCTCAACAGTAAAATGTATTGCAGGATGAACCTGGTTAAATTTATCCAGGATGTTCTTTACTTCCTCCTCGTTTTTCATAATCAAAAATGTATCATCTATGTACCGACAATAGAATTCAAGTTCAGGAATAGCATCTTTAATTAATTAGGACAGGAGTGTGAACGTGTTGTTCATAGAATAACAGTTTTTTATAACTGAAGGCGAAAAAAAATATGAAAGAAATGAAGAAATACAACAGCTTTGAAGCCAAACAGAACTAAATTCACATAGCGGCAGCCTCTCTATGCATATGGTAAGGGCTTCTAATGTAAAAAGAAGTTGGAAACACACACTGACTTTAGTAGATTTCTGTTCACTTTGTAAATAGCCCTGTTGTGTGATTTTGTGACGCGTTCAGGGAGTGTGGTTGTTCACTTATAGCATCTGTGATTGAACAGGTGCTGTCTCTTTCCAACCATCCTGAGTAGTGTTCTCTAACACATTTAATTCTTATTCTCGTTATCTGTGTAATAAATCAATACCTTTCTTTAAAACATTTCTACACTAATATTGAATATTGAATCATTGGTTTGATTAACACAAAGAACCAAGTATGTATAATAAGGAATTATGTTGTGAACTTATTTGTTTTAATTTTATGCCCACTTTATACACATATTTAAAACAAGAATGAATGTATTGATTAGTCTTTGTGGTATATTCTAATTGCTTAACTAGGTTATGTTTAATCATCTGTCAGAATTTATTATGCTATCAAAGGGCTCATAAAATTCGTTTAGAATTCGATTGGAAATCATTATGGACAGGTTAGTTGTATGAATATATATATATATATAAGTTTGTGCAGTACTCGTTTTTAAATACTTTCCATTGTATTAAAGAGTTGATTTGTCTTTCTAGCTTGACCACAGATTGATATCAGTTAGAGAATCATTGAAAACCATCACTGGAGTACTGGACAGCTATTTCATCCTAGTTTGGGAATGATTAACAGTATGTCCCCACTTGGGATTTGAACCCAGGATCTTCTGGATACAGGGTAAGCTGGTTCACATACCATTCAGCCACTAGGACCCGATTATCTTGAACTTTAAAAGTATTTTGATGTGAGACAATATCAAATAAAATTTGAGAACGTTTAAGTCTGAAAGGAGGCTTCTTTTCGTAACTTTACTTCAACATTATTTGCCAACAATGGTAGTTGACTTGTCGTGTCACGAAAAGAATTTCCAACATGTTGCTCCAGACGTTCATCCACAGCTGTCTTTTCTGCATACTAAAGATCGAATGGCCGAGCCAACTAAGAACCAATCGGCCAACAAATATGCCTAAGAAAGTGAAGATTAATTGGATACAAACCGACGACACCGTCCAGTGAAATCATGCCGAAGATAGGTCCTTTAGTGGAACTGGAGTGGTAAGCAACGGGTTGGGAGAGTGTCCCAGGGTAACAGAGAGGAGATGAGAGCTTATGGGTAGTGGTGGTGGAACCAGCTAAAAAGCCTCTCAGAGGACAGGGTGAAACAGAGATCCCACTGTTCCAAGGGAATAATAATAGTTCATTGAAATGTATGCCTTTAGCCCGATTAGTTGTGGATTAATAGTTTTTTTTACACTAATAAGTTATATATTCAAATAACTAAACATAAAAGAGTTAGATTTATTGTCAGATTGTGTGTATTGCCACAAGAACAAATATAAACCAAGTATAAAAGAAGTTGAATCTAAATATATTATTATTTATATAAATAATAATAACAATTTACTTTTTTCCAAAAACAGTACTTGTGATACAGAATGGAATTTTTAGCATTAATCACAATATTGCATCTAATTTCCTCAAATTATAAATAAAAATTAATCACACAGAAAATTTTCCACATTTACAATAGAGGTAATGTCAAAAACATGCAGCATATAAAAGGGAAATAATAATAATGATAACAGCTAAGGTAATAATAATTCAAGTGAAAAATGCCATGGGCTTGTTTCACACAGTATTGTCGATGCGGTATAGAAATCTTAGCTTGTTTAAAAATTATTGAATATAATGTTCTCTTTACATGATATGGTCAGGGGAAAAACAAAGATTACAGCAGTCATAGAGATAAGTTGGTGTTTGCAATTATGAGAGTAAAACAAAGAAGCAACTGGACCATAAATATAATAGAAATAATAAAAGTAAAACTTGAAGGTACATAAGGATGGATGGAGGAAACGGTTTATTTACTAGATGAAAAAAAGGTTAGTTAATTCTTGCCTCACACTATTTTCATCACATAAAATACGTTCCAAGTATGGCATCACAGAATTTCTATACTTAGACGTGCGGGCATACAGTTTTCTGAAGTTACTTCTTGTTCTTCCTGAGGAGACGCAAGGTGAAAGTTGAGGGTAAAGTGGATGCTCCAAGTCAGACAAAATCCCTTTAGCAAATTTATTGCACGAAGTCAAGTGCCTATCGGCAACGACGTTAACTATGTGGTCCACTGGCACACCAGTCACCCTACTGACAGTTTTCAGCATTCTAGGAATTGTGACATAGTCTTTTTTAAGCAAACCAGGAGAGAATAAGCAGGGGTGAACAATAAAGAAGAATAGGTAGGATGCAAGAGTTTATGAACTGTAAGAGGAGGGGTTGAGTTATACCTGAGTGTCTTTACTTCTTAATGTAATATATAATATAAAAAAGTTTCTGAAAGCGAAGAAAACATGTAACATGTTTTCACTAGTAGTTACCTAATGAGTTATTCGCATTCTTTTTCTTTCTTTTTTATTTGTTTTGCAGTTATTCTGAGTTTATTGAAGTTTATTCTCAACTTAGATTCTAGCAATCTATCTCTGCCTGACGCTCTCAGGCTTATTGAGAAGGTAGGTTGTTTGGTGTGGATACTTAATGACTTATTATGATTATACGCATTAGCGGTTAGCTCTTAAGCTTCTATTTCTTAAGACAATGTGATTCATCAGGTGAGGCAAATTTATTCACAAGCAACAACATGTGAAATGCTTTGTTATTAAACGGCTCTCTGGGCGCAATAAACTTTTTAACACCGGAGCTTAGAGGCAGATGAATATAAAAATAGTCGTTCAACTCTTCATCTGACTAACAGGAACTGTTGGTTGATGCAAGCTTGCTACTAAGTACTCATGGTACTCAATAAGATATTCCACACCATGGATAGGTGTCTCATGAATTAAGCACTCAGCTTTTAGTCACTGGATCTCGATTTCGAGTCCCGTCCCACCTGTTTCAATCTAGGCAACTACTGTCTAGCACCATAATCCCTCTTGCGTTCAGTGTGCCTGTTGACGTGGTATATGCATAATCTAATCCTGGTAACTAAGTCCAAATCTGCACCACATAGATCTACCTAATAATAATAATAATAATGGTAAAGCTTTATTTAAGACAGTATGCGAATTTACGGTACAAAAATTTCCAGCATATTCAGTTCCAAAGTACTTTTTTCTTCACACAGGATTCACATGTAAAGTAATAATCTGATGTATATCTTCATTTCGTTGAAGAATTGTACAGCGTTTACTTGAGAGCAAGTTAAATCATCGCGCAAGTTTATGTATAGGTCATTTGATATAACTGGACGATTAAAACAATGATAAATCCAGATGAAATTAAGGATTTTGGAGGAAAGTAATTTCGGTAGTCCAATGATTTAAGCAGGCCGCCTTTTCTAGTTTTGAAAATAATATATTCAAATATTTTATGTGATGTTAAAACTTTTCATAAAAGTAAGACTTAAATGATTTTTTTATAAGTTCACTGATTATTGAGGTCAATAATAATTTGATGTGCATTTAAACACAATTTGAGTTAGACTGTCATCACCAATTGTTATTTTTTTAATTTTGAATTGATGCTAGTTCATTGATTATAAATAAAAACAAAAGAAATTTAATTCATATTTATACTTGTTAATTTTACCAATCAACGTCTACTTCAAACTAATAATGAAAAGAAATAGTTACTTGTCAATATAATAAACAAAAGCACCAAAGGTTCTCCACTAGAGTGTAGACTTTCTAATGATGACTTCTTGGAGATGCTTGGCTGTAAGGAGAATGCCGAGAAAATATATTGCACTGATTAAGGCAATCTAATCGAACTCATGTAGTCATCCAGGTGAGGGCTTATGGCGAGTTGTCACCTGAAGTGGTGACGACTAGTGGTGTCCGTCAGGGATGCCCATTATCCCCTTTTCTATTCAACTTCATCATAGATGTACTAATGGACTTAACCCTAAGTGACTTCAGCGACTCAGGGATTGACTTGCTACCAGGGAATAATCTCGTTGACTTAGAATATGCAGACGATATAGTCCTTCTAGGCGAAGACGCTGACAAAATGCAGAGTCTTCTGAACACCTTGAGCAGCAATCTACGAATGTTTGGCATGCGATTCGCTCCCGCCAAATGCAAGATGATGTTACAGGACTGGACTACATCGACGCCTAGTTTAAAAATAGGAAGTCAAGTGGTAGAGCACGTTGACCGCTTCACTTATTTGGGAAGTAACATCAGCCAATGCCAACGGGTTGATCTCTGACGAAATCTCAGCACGAATACAGGGGGCTCATTTCGCATTTGTCAGTTTACGCCGACTCTGGCGTAGACGATATCTTCGACTATCGACCAAAGGGCGGGTGTACTGCTCATCAGTCCGCTCCGTCCTCCTTTATGGTTGTGAGACCTGGCCACCGAAAGTGAAAGACGTGATAAGACTAGCTGTCTTTGATTTGATCATAGGTGCCTGCGCTCTATTTCCCGTGTGAAGTGGCATAATAAGGTGAGCAATATTGAGGTTAGGCGTCGAGTTCTAGGTAAACAGGGGAAATCAATCGACGAAGTCGTGAAGCTACAAAGAGTGAGATGGTTAGGACATGTGTTACGTATGCCAAGCCATCGCCTCCCTCGACGAGCAATGTTAGCGGATATAGGGTCAGGCTGGAAAAAAGTTAGCGGCGGTCAAACAAAAACATGGCACCAGTCAGTGAAATCCACAACAGTTAGTCTAAGCCAGCCACGTAGGAAAGTGTAGACTTCCTGGTTGGGGTCCTCGGGACGGTGAAAATCTATAGTTGGAAATAATTGGTGATATGGCTCAAAATCGTTCTCAGTGGCGCAGATGCATCCACTCCTTGTGACTTATGATCTCCAATGAAACTGCTTTGTTCTTCGTTATTACTCCTTTGTCTCACACCTCTGCTCACTGTTTCTATTATGCTTTTCTTGTACTTTCTTCTCTTGCTTCGCGTGCTACACGGAATGTGGCGACTTGAACTGGTGCACATTTGTGCAAAGTTCTATGTCGAAAACAGACAGACATGATGACTTCTATTTTTTAGCATTTCGGGGAGGTTCAAATAGTTGAAATAATCATTTCATTAAGATGTCTAGGGACTATTCAGTAATAATTCAGATATGATGGAGATTTGTAGCTCAGGTGGATGATTTCGATGTGGTTGTGTTCTCTGAGCTAAATGGATGGTTTATTTGCGAAGCTTCTATTGCCCCTTCCATAGGCAACATCTTCAGCGAATACTTCAATTCGATGAAGTGAGCTTTTAGATTTCTCCACGAGTTTATTAGTCATCTCTCCTGACGGGTGACCTTGTACGTGATTCGTTGTCGTTGTGTGTTTTCACATTCTCTATGCTTCTGGTATTGGAACTTTGGCCCTTTGTGTGTAAGGTATCTTTCTTATCGGTTGATAAATTTTGTCTATCTCGATGTGTCAGTTGATTGACGATTCACTAGAATAGCAGACTTCTAAAATTTCTCTGACACACACAGATCAAATAATGAATTACAACAGGAACAATCCAATAACACACAAAAGGAATTGTATACAAACACTATTCAAGAGGGCCAGCCAAGACTCATTGCAGCTCTCTCACCTCATGGAAAATTGAAGAAAGATATTTCATGGATGTCTTCCAAAAGAATGACTATCCTTGGAATTTCATCCAAAGACATATACCCCTACTCCAACCAATCAAATCAAAGGCCCCCAAGGGAAGCATAAAGAAAATACATTCGCCAAAAGACATGACATGCACTCCCTCATATCATTACATATAGACAACCATGGACATCAGTTTGACTGGGACAACGTTCAAATATTAGACAGAGGAAACACCAAAAATGCTAGATAATTTTTAGAAGCTTGGCATTCCAATGAATCATCAATCAACAGACACATTGAGATAGATCGGATTTGCCAACCGATGAGAAGGAAATCTCACACACAAAGGGTCAAAGTTCAAGTCAAGGAAACAACAGTTCCAATACAAGTAGCCTAGAGTGGAGGGTGTGAAAACACACAACAACAACCAATCACGTCCAAGGTCACCAGGAGAGATAATTCATTAACTGATGGAGAAATCTAAAAACTCACTTCAAGAAATTGAAATATTCGCTTAAGATGTTGCCTAGTGGTGGGGCAATGAAAGCTTCGCAAATTAACTATGCAGCTCAGAGAACACAACCACATCGAAATTAGTAGTAATTCATTTGTGATTTGTATCTAAAAAAGAGCTTTATAGACCTTTAAACATGTGGCCTGTTTGATAAAAAGCTGACTGACAAGTTAGTTAATTTATAAACTAAAACTTTAAAACTTTCGCTTTGCTTGAATGTGTGGTCTACTGAATGTCTATGGGCTGAATATTTTACTTTGTTGAGTATTACTTAATTCGCTAGTTGGTGGATAAACATAAGTTTTAATACTCCCATCGATGAGATTATTAGGATTCATATATCTCATTTATGCAAGTGTTTATTAGCAGTTCAACAGTTAAATATGTATCAACAGATTGTTAAGCTAATTGTAATAATTTATTCAATCATTATTAAAATGAACGTACAACTATTCCTTTGGGATCCGAGTAGAACATCAGCGTTCACCAGCACATCTACATTTCATCCTTTCACCTACAGTCTTTTTACTAGTTTCACGATTGTCCATACGTTCACATCTCCTCCTCACATGAGCCCCTGCATATCATCCTCGGACGCCCAACTGGTTGACAGCCTTCCATTGAAGTTCTACTCTCGATGGGTTGCATAGCGTGCGATGTAACTCAATGGTTTTCTTTGTCGTGTGACTCACGTTGGTACATAAACAATCTTTGAATGTACGGGTCAAGAATATAGGGACTTGAATAAATGATGTTCAACAGAGAATGAAACATGCAGAAAAATAAGTACAGTGAATACCATTTAACCATAAGAAAAAAATTACTCCCACACAAAATAGAATGTTGCTACATTGAATGTGCTGGGTTCCAATAAAGGTCAATAACTATGGCTGCGAAGTACCAAGCATGAAATATGACCCCATACTACTTACTTGCAATAAATAGTATAAAGTTAAACACGAATAAATCAGTGGTAAAGAGTAGATAAGAGGGGAATGAAGAGTCACTATTACATCAAAGAATAAATTGTTGAATGCATCGATATTTCCGATTGCGCTTCTAATGATATCATGAACGTAATTCTCTTGCTGATGTTTGACAGGCATATTACCCTCAGCAGAATTACGAAGTAATGATAGCAAGCTTTTCATTTACGACTGAAAAAACCAAATGAATATTAATCTGTAATATGCTTATTTTGATGAATGATCTTAGGATATATATATATATATATATATTCTATTTTCTTATAGGCTCTTCAAATTTTCAATCTTTTTGTTCTTCATGGAGATGGATTCCTGCAATCAGCTGATGTATATGACAATTTATATTACGAGTTAATACGTATGCATTTGCTTGTTGAAAATCTTTATGAATATTGTAAGTGTAAAGCTGTTTACTATTATTATTATTATTGCTGTCGCTCATTCTAATCATTATTATTTCCTTTAATTCTTGGAGCAACATAGGCCTACAACTGCACCTCTCCATTGCGTCCGGTTCTCTGGTAGAGTTTTCACGTGGCTCCAGGTCTGCCCACATGCCTACATCTCTTCACATGACCTCCTCCAACTCACCCTCACACTGACGACCAACTCGCCGCTTCCCTTTCGGGTTCCACTCGAGGGCTTGTCTATTGATGTCACTTGATGGTTTGTTTCCTCACAGTATGGCCACAATCCACCTCCATTTCTTTCTGCTTATTTGTTTCACAATCGGTTCCTGCTTAGTTGGTTCGCTCCCAGAGATCCCTGTTGCTGATCGGTTCTGGTCAGCCATCTGGTCTTGAGTTTTGAGCGAAGACAGCTGTTGATGAAGGTCTGTAGTTTGTTTGAGATGCTCTTTATGACGCACCAAGTCTCTGATCCGTATAGTAGCAGTGATTTCACATTGGAGTTTAAAATCCGGATCTTATATTCGTTTTCATGCTGAGTCCTGTTGACCTCCACACAGACTTAAGAGTAATGAAAGCTTGTCTTGCTTTTCCGATTCTTGCTTTGATATCCTCGTCAGTTCCGCCTGTAGTTGAAACGATGCCTCGAAGGTAGGTAGAGGAGGTTGTTTCTTTCAGGTTCATTCTAATCATAATAAACGTCAAATTTGTTGTATTCCTGTTGGGTTCCAGTTAATCAGAAAGTAGGCTGTGATGAGGATTTTGGCAGCGTAGTGAAATGTAATGCCACATTAGAGACGCTTACTTTATATAACTTGCAATGATACAGTATTAATAACTGGATCACGTTTTGAACACAGTTTATTGCTGCTTATAATCTTATCATTGTAAGCATTCCTACGAATTACCAACTTGCTTTGTACAGCCTTACTCCATCCCATTTCTTCTTCATTGCAATTTTTCATATATCCGAGCTTGGTTTGGTGTCATTGCGATTGCAGTTGTTTTGTGTTAATTCGATGGATAAAGATTCCTTATAAGTTTCATTTCATTATATAAATCTCCTGACATGCTAGTCAGGCTCCTGGCTCGATACTTCACTCAACCTATTTTGACAGATTATTTTTCGTGTTTATTTTTCTTGAGGGGAAGGAATTCAACATCTGACTGCCTACTAGAACTCGACAGATTCCTGGAATACTCACCATCATGTTTTTGTTTTGTTTTACGATCTAGCATACCTAACTCATCCTGTTCAATTTCTAAGTGAAGAGTCGATAGAATTTCATCTAATACTAAGTTTATGTATGTGGGGGACCATATATATGTAACCTAGGAGCAGGATTAAACTTTCTAAGAACTTTTACGTGGTGGAATACTTAAGCCAACTAGTCATATAATCTATTCACACTTATTGCACTTGTAGTTGTTGATTGTTGAGTAAGGCTGATTCAGATGCTTGTTAATTTCAGTGATCGATCAACATTACTATATTTCAACTTAAATCGTCTGTTTCATTGTCAGTGGTTCGCTAATCATTACAATTACGAGTGTAAAAAATTCTTGAGTAACATTTCCGTTAAAGGATAAAGAGAAATCTTGAAGTAGTATGTTTTCATAACTTTATGTAGTGAAGTATTATAGTACTGTTAATGTCACTAAAAAGTTTGAGCATCGTAGAATAGATCAAATATTAATAGTAACAAATGGTAGTATAAAACTACGCTATATTGAAAAATGACACATTCTGGAAGATTCCTTGATTATCACACAGCTCATCCACTCACGGTAAAACGAGGATTGATACAAGGTCTTGCAGATAGAATACATTGACTTACAACAACACCAGATGACCAGGGAAAAGAAATAAACGTCCTTTTCAAAATATTACTCGACAACAACTACCCAAAAGAATTCATCAGAGATAATATAAAACACAGGGTTAAACTAGAGAATAACAAGAAGGAGGAAGGCTAAGAAAACAGTCACAAAACTATACAAAAATGATACATCAGAGGAAATTCGAAGAAACCTCAAAAATATTGGGATTCGCACCATTTTTTAAACTGATGAATCTAATCAAAAATAAGATAAATCAACTGAAAAATCCAATAGAAATGATGAATAAAAACAACTGTCTTGTACTCCCTGGTTTTCAATGGTTCGCTGATTATAATATCAATCAATCCGTGGGCAAACTTATGCCGAGTGTCCGACTAAAATATGTGGATCAAACCTCCAAATCACTCAAAATAAAAGTGAATGAACATAAACGCCTAACTAAAGGGCAACCAAAAGGGACACAAGCTTATAAAAATTTAGAAAAAATTCATCTATAGCTGCATATGCCATGGGATACAACCCACAATAAGGATTGGAAACAATGATAGTATTCTAAAAACTAATATAAACAAATGGAAAGAGAGACTACTTAAAACAGAATCTGTATTCATTAAGGTCACACCGGATACCTGTAACAGGGGTAACTCAGAAGCACAATTGTCAGCAACCTGGAATATAATTCTGAATACACAAAAATGAGTGAACAAAAGATGAACTATATATATGAATACAAATCATAAATGTGTGAATTAAAAACAAAATAATTCCAACAACTGATGTGAACACGGGCGATAATTTTGCTCGAAATAGGATCAGTAATAAAAAAAATTATTGTGTGTAATAAACCACTGAAATATAATTATACGTTATTATACCACTGTTATTCGTACATTTATTCCTTATACTCCTGATGTTTTGGTGGCGTTCAGCGCATAATATTTAGATAATTAAAAACATATGCTTATAATTTAGTCTATTCGGCTCAAACGTTTTCACATAAGTACAGTAAACATAGTAATATTGCTTTGGTGGTTCAGTGGCGAAATACTCGCCGACCAAGCATGTGGTCCATGTTTGATTCGCCACCAACACACTCTAACACCACCCTCAGCCGATAGTTAGCCTAGTGAAGAGGTTGAGCGTGAAGCTAACAACTTCTCGCCGTAATTTAAGCGATGCCGCTACTGATACTTCAAAACCCTCAAGGTAGAAGACCTGTGTTCAGAACTCAAAGGAATGGCAAACTCTTGATAAGTAATAGCCGGAGTTCTTGAAATAATTCTTCGATATTTGTTGGAGGTAGGATAAAAATAGTTGGATATTAATAGATACATTTCAGTAGTTGTTGTGACGTCATATCTGATAACCTTGACAATATTTTAGTTGATTTTAAATAATGGATAGTTTCACCTGAAATGGTGATATACTCTCTCAATGCTTTATTTTTCATTACAAAACATTCTAGTATCGCTTATACACGCCAGGCCTTGCAATAGTGTGTGCTCTTTACAGAACTTATTTTTATGCTATTTCTTGTGTTTTTGGCTGACTGACTGATTGGCTAAGTTTCAACATAGAATTTTGCACAGAAATGCAGTAACAGTCCGAGTTGCCCTTCTCCACGTAGTACACAAAGTTAGATGAAGTAGACATTCAAAAGAACTATAACAAGCATAAATGTGAGTGAAAAGATTAGTTACATCGAGAAAGATGAAAGTCTAGTGGATATGGAAGTTCACGAAAAGTGAATGCATCTGCTCTACTGCGATCGATTTTAAGCTCTATTACTGATATTCTCTAAGGTGAAGGCTAAGCTTTCACCCAGCGTCATATTCGGGGTAGAATGTTTCAGTTAAGCTATCCGGTTCAGAGAAAATGACACAACATCAGGAAAATATCCCTCCAAACTGCAAATCATCATTATTTCAACACCATACTTTATTTACATACCAGATTCACAATGTATACATCTATAAATCCCGCCGATAACATTGGTTGGTGGTCGAATTGGTAGAAGCTAGAATTCATGGGCTAGCCATTGAATACGGTCCCAGTTACTGAATTGTCTACGAACTTGTATTGTAGCTGGGAGGTCCTGGCTTCGAAACCCAGTGGGTGCTTACTGTCGATAATTCTCAAACTAGGACGAAGTAGCTGTTCAGTACTCCCAGCTGGTTTTCAATGGTTCTCTAACTGATATCAATCCGTGATCAAACTCGAAAACAAAATTTTCATGTATGTGAGCGTACTGCTAATTATTTTCAATTTTCTTTTATTTTGTATAGGCTTGCAACATTCAACTAGTTCTGTTACTGAAGTGAAAGAGATCGCCTCATCAGTTGTCCTGCAGTTAAGTACTCTAAGGTAATGTGTGATTATGTTTTTGAATTTTACGCTCATTTTACTGTACTTTAGTGATTATTATTATTATTAATATTAGGATCACTTTTTTCAACAAAATAGATAGTGACATTGATCAGTCCATTCTCTTTTTATTTTGCGTGCATCTAATTGTAAAATTTGTTATTTATTTTATAATCTCAGGGCAATCGTCAATCATTTCAATGCAAAAATAGCTGCTTTCTCTACATCAAATAATTTGACCTCATTAACAGAAAATCAGGTAAGCGTATATTTTTTGCTGTTTGTGAGGTGTTGATTAAAAATGGTGCGAAGAAAAAAGTATCAATCAAAAATTTTATAATTATTATTATTGTTCCTTTGGGTTCCTAGTGAAACATAGGGCTTCAACTGCACGTCCCCACTTGCTTCTGTCTTCCTTCTGCTGTACTTTTCACCTCCATCCATGTTAGTCCATACTGTTTCAACTCCTTTTCACACGATCTCCTCCATGTCACCCTCGCACTGACGTCCCACTCGCCGCTTCCCTTTCGGCCTAGTTCCACTTGAGCAACGGCCTGACGCACGCGCGATGTCACCCAGTGGCCTCCTCAGCGAGTGAGTGTCCAATCCATCTCCACTTTCTCTTGCATATTTGTTGGTTGGCGATTGGTTTGTTCTTTTTTTGTTTGTTCCCTTAGTTTCTTGTTGGTGATTCTTTTCGGCCCGGCCATCTGATCTTCGGTATAGAGCCAGTGAAGACAGTTGTTGGTTGATAAGGGTCTGCAACAGGCTGTTGGAAATATTCTTTGTGACCTGCCAGCCAAGTTTCTGATCCGTATAGAAGAGCTGACTGACTTGATGTTTGTATTGAAAATCCGACTGAATTGTGTTGTTGATACTGAGTGACGAAAATTTCCAGATTGGTTTCAGGTTGATGAATGTGTTTCTCGCTCGCCTTCCCAATTCTCGCTCGATTTGACATCCTCGTCTGTTCCTCCTGTAGTTGAGAAGGTGCTCCCTAGATAAGTGAGTCAAGTGACCTCTTTCAAATCTTTCCCGTTAATGGTGATTGGCGTTGGATGTTGCTGCTGTTGTTGTTGATTCAATGAAAAAGGAAAGCTTTCAGATAGGGTACACCATCATAATAAACAAGGCGAAGCAGTTTTCTAATGTTATTTAGTACTGATTTTGATAGACATGAGTAGGTGAACATCAATAACTGATCAATATACCAGACTGCCGTTTCTCTTGTTTGGGACTGATGTCATCTTAAGCGCTGCACCCAGTTTGACTCAGACTAAAAAGCTGGATCAGTTTAAACTACCTGATTTCCGACCGTGGGAAACATCCATAAGGACATTAGAGAGAAGAGAACACGAAGTTCAGCAAAGATATCTTTTCACCGATTTCATTTGCAAAAATTGTACGATCGCATTTAAATACACAATTTCACACAGATACGATTTTTACTTCATTCCACATAATTACGAAGGCGAATAAAAAGTGGCAATTATTTTCAACTAGATACGGTTTACGAGAGGCTTAGAAACAAAAATTACACAGGATTTTGACGAATTACAAGTGTGCAAGAAAAATGAGCATGGAAACAAATTGAAATAATAATTTTCAACTTCAAATGAAAGTTAGGAGGTGTGAATATGGATTGCAAGAGCCTTATACACCTCCCAACTTCCATTTCAAGTTGAAAATTATTATTTCAATTTGTTTCCATGCTCATTTTTCTTGCACACTTGTAATTCGTTCTCTTCCTGAGTAATTCTTGTTACTAATCCTCTTGTAAACCGTATCTAGTTGAAAATAATTGCCACTTTTTATTCGCCATCGTAATTATGTGGAATGAAGTAAAAATTGTATCTGTGTAAAATTGTGTATTGAAATGCGATCGTACAGTTTTTGCAAATGGAGTCGGTGAAAAGATATCTTTGCTGAACTTCGTGTTCTCTTCTCTCTAATGCTTGAATTCTGACTAGCTCCCGTTCGAGACGAGCTTGAGTCCCAATTAGGGTACACCGTTGGTGTGCGAAACATCAGCCTGGTGTTTTTAGAACTATTCGATTTGGCTAGCGAATGCTTCTGGTTGATGTAAATGCTGTTCAACTATTCATGTGCGTTGCATACCATCATGTGTTGTGTTTGTGTTGGTTTTCTTGATCACCATTGATGTTATCAAGTAGATCATATATTATGATTTGAATAATTCCAGTTTCCAAGGCAAACCGTAGTGAAATTTCACTTAGGTAGTTTTTTTTTGACTTCGTAGTATTGCTCTGTCATCTGAAGTGGGGTACGCTTTCGTACATTTTTTAACCGTCATCTTAAAGTCTTATTTTTTATTGTGGCTTTTTGTTGGTCATTCAATTTTAATGATTTGATTTATCATAATACAGGTGTTCATTCTTTTCTGTAATAAATATTAGTATATTTGTGCTCAGTAAGTATTTGGACATATATTAGGTTATTTTGTCTCAACGGTTAAAGCTTGAATTCTATTTCAACAAAGCAACTGTCGACTGCTTAAATTTTCACATCCTTTTATTGAATTATCGTTCAATACTTCATAATTCTTATTATTCGATAGAATTTCAATCAAACATACATCAGAAATAATTGAAATGATGACAGTCTGTGTTATTTTCTGTGATTGGGTATTATTATTCTCTTGGGATTCAGTGGCACATCAACATTTCACTCTGTTCTCTGCAGTTTTTTCTAACTGGCCCCGCCAGCTTTCATCTTTTATCCTCGCACGATCTACTCCATGTCATCCTCGGGCACCCAATCTGCTGTTGCCACGTTCAGGTTCCACTTTAGGGCCTGGATCGCGCACGTGGTGTTACTCAGTGGTCTCCACAGCGTTTATTTTATTCATCTCTACTTTCTCGCTCTCTCTTCTCCTGCGGGCACATGTGCCTTTGATCATAGGTGCCTGCGCTCTATCTCCCGTGTGAAGTGGTAGAATAGGGTGAGCAATATTGAGATTAGGCCTCGGTTGAGTGCTAGGTAGGTGGGAGAGGAAATCAATAGACGAGGCTGTGAGGCTGCATAGACTGAGATGGTTAGGACATGTGTTACTTATGACTAGCCATCGCCTTCCTCGACAGCAGGCAATGTTAACTGACATAGGATGGGTGTGGTTGGAAAAGAGCCAGTGGTGGTCAAAACGAAATATGGCTTCATCAATCAATGAAATCCACAGGAGTTAGTTTAAGCCAATCACGAAGAAAGGTGTAGACTTCTTGGTTGGCGTCCTTGGGACGGTAAACACCAATGGTTGGAGACAAACAGTGATATGACTCAATATCGTTCTCAATGGCTGGCGTAGATGCATCAACTTCTTGTGACTTATAATGCCCAATAAAACTATATTGTTCTTCGATATTACTATTCTTCTTGCTTCATATCTCTGTTTACTGTCTCTATTTGGCATTTCTTCTCTTGCTTTGTTTGCCACATTGAGTGTGGTGACTTAAACTGTTGAACTGTTGTTGTACAAAGCTCTATGTTTAAACCAATCAGTCAATAAGTCAGTCTTCTGCATCTTTGTTAGGCGATTGTTACTTGTCACAGAGTTCCTTGTTGCTTATCTCTTTCTTGCCAGTCATATGATCTTCAGTATGAAGGCAACGAAGGCAGCTGATGACGAAGTTCTGCGGCAGGCTGTTAAAAATGCTTTACGTGGTTGCCGTATACATAAATGAGTGATCAGTAGAAGGCATTTAGTTATGCGCCAATTTTTTGTATCCTATGTTATTCTAAATGCACTAATTCGGAACGACACTAGGTGTTATGCTTAGTTACATATGATACTTTAAAATAATAAAGTACTTATTAGCAAAGGATAGAAGTGAAGAGATGAACTACCTTGATAGTGAGAGAGAAAGAAGTAGTGTGGTGAGTGCTACTTATAATCAGATATAAGTAGTATATCAGTAGACAATTGAAGGCAATTGAAGAAGAGAACTCTGAGAAGAACGTTAGAAACACTGTGTAGAATCCAACAAGCTATCGAATATGGTGATATTCGATCAATTGGCGAATGGTGTGCAGATAAAGACCTAAAGACCGAATTTATGTGCCTATAATGCGTTTGTCCTAATATAAACAATGCCTTCGAGCCACATCGATATTTTCTTCTTCACAGTAAGATTGAGGTTGTTGTTGTTGTTGTTGTTAGCCTAATGAAATTCATGTAAAAAGCATCCATCTATCTCTTTCTGTTGTCTCCTCTTAGGTTTTAGAAATTGTTCGAGAGAATTATGATTCACTGACACTACGATTTTTAGAAGATTTAGATACAATTGAAGAGTATGAATGTGATAATGAAGATACATTAATGTTTCATACAATTGTAAGTATCTTATTAGATTTACTAATTCATTCTGTGTGTAATAAAGTCTTTTCATTAAATTCTATTCTACAACACTGGGGGCTTACATACTTTTAACTATTGTGTTCATTGTGTATAGACTATTTGCTATAGAAGAAATATATATAGATAAATTCAAGTCACGTTGGACTCAGTTAGTCTGGAAATGGATTTTTCGATGCAATATAATATGAGCTACATAATTATTGTAGGCCTCTGCAAGAACTGGCGTGCAATAATACTCTTGCCGACGCCAAGTAAAATACTAAGTCGCATGATCCTAGTGCGCCGGTGGTTAGGACCCTCGCCAACCATGCACATGGTCCGGAGTTCGAGCCTACGCCGACGCACACCTGATATCTATGGTCGGCCTGTGAATTTTGGGCTACCGATATCCACGCTGAAAATTCCATACCTGTACCAAAAATACAGTGTGGAATCAAGCGGTAATCAAAAAAAATAAAAGACGCGCTGGATACAGTAATCCACCCTACCGACCAGAACAAGGTGGATTCAGGAAAAGCAAATCATGTACTGATTTAAGTACAACTCTATGCATCGTAATTACAGAACAAAGCATAGAATAGCAGTCAAACCTGTACCTTAGATTCATCGACGTCGAAAAGATCACCAGACAGCGTTAACCAAGAAGTAATTTGCAGTTTGCTTCAATACTTTGGCGTGCAGTGCCTAATTCTTTATCAACCTCATTCAACATCTGGCTAGTCAGGTGTGATCCACAACCGGAAACTCACTGAGGCGTTCGAAGTGAATACAAATGAATACAAAAGCTGGCTGCCTATTACCACCGATGATATTCTTAATTTTGATGGACTGGATTATGCGTCAGACTGTGCGTTGGGAGTGAAAAGTCAGGACTGGTAAGAACACTCTGGAAGATCTGGATTTCGCAGATAATTTATGTTTATTGTCACGCAAACTCGAAGACTTACAGGCGAAACCCAACAAACTGGCTGAAGAGTCTGGCAGCGAAGACAGGACCGTAGGTGAACACAGAGAAGACGGAGGTAGTGAAGATAACCACCTAACCATCAACAACAATAAACTAGCACCAATCACCATCAGTGGGAGAGATTTCACAGAGGTTTCTTCCTTCAGTTACTTAGGAAGCATCATTTCAACCACAGGTAGTCGAAACGGATGAAGATTTCAAAGCTAGCCAGAATCAGAAAGGCAAGATACACCTTTATCAGTCTGAAATTCAGTTTGGAAATCTACTCTGACTCAGCATAAAGAACAAGATTCACATTTTCAACACCAATGTCATATTGATCCTTCTATAGGGGTCAGAAACTTAGTGTATGACAAAAAAGATTTCCAACAGGTTTCAGACCTTCATCAACAGTTGCCTTCGCTCCATGCTGAAGACCAAATGGCCAGAAAGAATTAGTAACAAGAAACAATATGTAGGAAGAAATAGAGATGGTTGGGGGCATACTATGAAGAGGCCGTCGAGTGACATCGCGCTCACGTTGACATGGAGGAGCTAGTGTAGCGTGGAGGAGATCCAACTGAAGAGGACAGCACAAGAAAGTGGAGAGTTGTTGCTGAAGCCCTGTGTCCTACTCGGAACTCAAAAGAATAACAAATAATATGAATAAGTCAAGGCTAATGATACCAACCAGTTGACCAGACTGATTCAGATAGATCAGGAGTCGAACCTACGACCTTCTGGCTGTAAGTCAAGTTCTGAAAAACAAAAGGAACCATATGTTTGTTAAATTAACACCCATTGTTTCAATTTTATTCTAAGGAAATTAATGACCACACATTATAATCAATTGTGCTTTAGTGATCATATGTATTGTCAATTTATCAAAGAGATAAACAGGATTCTTACTGTTTAAAAAGTGACTTGGCTTTCTCAGTCAACTTCAACTCTTACGAGCTTAGCTCTAAATAAGTTAACCAACCGCCTAATCCTTCGATATTTGTCGCTAGTCACTACTGGTTGGTTTGGAAAGTTCCCAACAATTCACATCAGCTATCAGCATATGCTGCATTGCTTAATTTACTCACCGCTAATCATGATGTTAGGTAGATCACACAGTGTGCAGTGTGACCTGAATATTTTGCCTTTCAAAATGGTCGTTATGGTCTTGAACTGTGGATTTTGAAAATAATTTAGTGATTTCACAAAAAATGCCTCTTTATATAGAAATTTTCACGATATAGCTCTCAGTGACTTTTCTTTTTCAAGTGTTGGTTTGTAGGAATTTGATTGGTTTCAGGATTTCATCATGAACTGACAGTAGTTAGAGAACCATTGGAAAACCTGGGAGTACTGGACAGCTGTTTCGTCCTAGTTTGGGACTCTTCATCAGTACGCACCCACCGGGATTCGAACCCAGGACCTTCCGGTGGCTGAATGGTATACGAGCTCACCTTGTAACCAGGAAGGTCCTGGGTTCGAATCCCGGTGGTTTCGTACTGATGAAGAGTCCCAAACTAGGACGAAACAGCTGTCCAGTACTCCCAGGTTTTCCAATGGTTCTCTAACTACTGTCAGCTCATGATGAAACTTTTCTTTTTTATTATATTTTTTAACTATTTTATTATATTTATTCAATTCTCTGAAACAGGTTGAGTCGATTTCCAAACAAATTCGTAAGGATTGCCTTGAATCCAGTTTACAAATACAAAATCAACTGCACGAATTATCTGCAATTCCTTAAATAATAAGTTAGTTAAATAATTTACACAACAATACACCTGTAAATCTCAACACATTTGAAAACAGACTTACAGCCATTAAGGTGATATTCATTTTCATTACCTTTTATTTTGTGAAAAGTCTTTCATCATGAGTTGTTTTTTTTTGTCTTTTTAATCCCTACTTTATTTTGTCTCTTTTCTGCACGCATCATTAAGCCCATAGTCATATCACATTTTACTTTCTTTCTCAATGTATATACATACCTCTCATCTGAGTTGTTCCCCTTAGAAAAACTGTTCCATAAAAAGGCTGATCATCATACATTCATCACTCCTGTAATTTAAACAAAACAAAAATGTGTAGGTGAGCACAATACTCTGCCTTCCCAAAACTTGTTCCTACCTCTTCACTATTGTGATGATTGAACCTTTTTCCTTATCCATATATTTCCATCTGATTTCTTTTTTATGTAATAATAAATATAATTATAATTTTAATTGCGATTATACAGACAGTTGAAGTTCCATTCTCCAAAATTTGTCAGTACTTTATTGACAATAAGAAAAAGGACGTTGTCACTGTAATATTTCTCTTACTTACGACACTGTATTGTCACTGCATTGAGATTGCTTATTCTGTGTAGTAGTCCTTACAAAATACAACATTGTATTTGTATAAATATACTTGATGGGTGAGTCCAGGAATCCACTAGCATTGACACTCATGAATTCAATCTTGTAACATGAATGTCCTTTGTGAGAACCACTGGAGTGTTTCTAAACTAGAATGAGACACTTGTTCAATACTCCCTGGTTTAAATGTATCTGTCATGATTGAAATCAATCGAATTCCTACAAACCAACACTTGAAAATTAATCTTCTGCTACTCACCAGTGACTGACTACTGGTTGCGTTTCTGGTAGATAGTCGTGACGAGTGGGTTCCACTATTTTTGGTTTTGGAACAGATATTCACCGATGACTTTGACCGGCTGTTGCTTTATTTATGTGAATTCAGCAGAAACTATAATTGAAGGAGAATTATCTTCCGCCTATTGTTTGATGGTCGACGAGCTTGCGTTACAACCTGAAGGTCTTGGGTTCTATCCTCGATGCGGTGAAGAATCCGAAACTTGAACGAGTTGAGTTTTCTAGTACTCCCTGATTTTCAGTGTTCCGTAGCCAAAGTTAAAATCAATTTTTATACATTTAATTTATACTACTTTTAATGTATAAGTAAACGAATTGTTTAATTGAAAATATTGTCTTTCATCATAGTCACTTCAGGCAACTTTTGACTTACACACTCTGGCATTCTCTATCTCGTCACTGTAAACGTGTTGTAACTACATAAGAACATTTAAAAAAGAAACTTTTTACCTCGGGTCATCTGATATCATTTATGCCGTACACGGAATGCGAATAGAACTAGTTGTTATATATTAAGCCTAATTATCTGCCTATCTAAAATTTTGGCTACCAAAATCTTCCATCTCTCTATTGCATATATTTTCTCTTGTTCGGTTTGTTTTATTCGATTAATATATCAAATCTAATGCTATTATCTACCCTTGTATGTATTTAAAATGTTTAAAAACTTTTGATTCGCAAGTTCCTGTTAAACTTGACGGATGGCATGATTGTGGTTGGCAATGTGTTCCAAGACATGAGATAACTGTTCTTCAGTTATGTCCCTGGATCTCATATTGTACTTCTGAACATCTTCCAGTTCGCTTTCAACCAGAAATCGTGGATTTATTGAAGGAGACAAAGTAGATATATCACAGAGACCGTTGTGTCACAGGATATATTGCATGAAGGGAAAATATCGTGCAATAAACTCCTGTGAAAATTCTGTACATTTTATAAATACTGTCCAGAAGGAAGATATTATTATAATTACGTAGGTACTAGTGGGGCGTGTGGTATGAAATTTTCAGCTGTACAGCTAAAGTTAGTTCGACATGCACCAGTCTATGTTACCATTAGTGATGGCGGCCTGCTTCAATCACTGGGCTACCTGACTTTCTATCTAATGCAATGTGTCATATTTTATCTAATTCTTATTGTTTCAGCCATTCAATTATTTCCTGGAGTAGAAAAATATTCTCTCACACATTTTTGATTGGGTTTGAAACCACCGGTGCACCTATCTCGGAGAAGATGGAAAAATATCCTAGGGGATCAGTTTGTGTTTTAGGACAAACAGCATTACACCATCTGATATACTACAGATTACTAATTTGCTTGATTGGTTGAGATGGTTAGGTCGTATGCTGCACATTCCAACCATTCGTCTACCTGGATCGCCAATGTCAACTGACATTTGATTAATTTCGAAAAGAGTTGACAGGTGGTCACGTGAGAACCTGAGATTAATCAGTGAAGTTTCTGACTGCTAGTTGTAGCTACGTTGAGTAGTGTAGACTACGTGGCTGAGGTCCTTAGGAGTTCAAACTGTTGGGGATATGACCTAAAATCATTCTAAGTGGTGCAAATGTTTCCACTGACTCTGTGATTTCTTACATCCATCAAATTGTCATTATGCTCCATGTGCAGCTTCGATTCTTGTACATTTCCGTTCATTGTAGTTCTTTCACTTTTTTCCCTCTACCTCTGCGTACCAATGAAATGCGGCAACCTGAACTGCTGCACTTTTGCGCGAAATTCTACAAGTGAAACTTTATCAGTCAACTCTGTTACAACCAAAACCGACTTGATGCTGTCTGTGTCCTACCGTATCGTTGACAAAACATCCTTGAGACCCACGCAGTCATGAAACTCTCCGAAGACAGGGAAGAGGTGATTATTCTTCAATAAACTTGTGGTCCTATTAAACAATAACTAAACCGTATACTCAAAATTGTCTCAACTGTTCCGTTAATCAGCTATACAGTCCAGTCTAAATACAAAACGAGTACTTAGAATCAAGTACAGTATTCCTAAAAAGGTGGGATGGAAACTTTGTCAACAAGAACCATATACTAACATTTTCCAAAGACATTCCAGCGTTAGAATGACCTTCATTCACTCAAACAAATGCACATCGTACAACAACACATTAGCTTATCGAACAACCATGAAGAGAAAAGCATTAAATTAAGCCGAGACAAAAATAATAAGGAAGGATCAAGTTAAGATGTAATATGCAAATGTCACAGCAATGCTATACAGTCTAGGAGAAAACGGAAAATAATTGCAAAGTCAGCTGAAAAATTCAAATAAGTATCAGTATTGTAATTATATCGTTCGGGAAGGATTTTCCACTGCATTCAGTAAAATAATACTTTGTTTTAATTGTATTCAGCTATGATTTTCTCTTAAATTTTTATTATTAGTCATTGTCATTATTATTGTTGTTATTACTACTATTGTAACAGCAGAAAGCAAGACATGAAAGCCAAGGTATATTTGCAAGTGATCAAACAGCTATAAAAATAGAATGTTCGAATATATGCATAGTATTCTGTTGCTAATGAAGTATTGAACTGTGAGTACAGTATTCAGACGTTGACACGAACAAATACAATGATTCCTACTGTGAGAATAATATTCTGTTGGAACATATTGTCTGTATCGCACCACCGTACTCGTCACTCCATCAAATACTTTGCACTGAAGTTGGTCCGGTCTCCTTGGTTCTGGCGTCTTTGTTTGATTGTCTTACTGTATCCATTTCGGGAGCTCGTTGAAGTTCACCCGCCTGTCTTTGTTTGGACTTCTGATGGCATATACGTGACCCCGTCTCACGGTGACCGTGTATGTTCCTTCTTACTTTCAAAGCAGTTTGTGTGCCCTGGCGCGTACTCGCCGGTGTTTCGCCTCACATTATCATACGCTGTCTTTGCCCGACCTCTCAGCAGGATTCCAAGTGAAAGCCTTTTCGCTGACGGATCTTGAACGCCATTCAGCTTCGCAACAGTCTCGAAGACCTGCAAGAAGATCTTTATGTCTCCAGTGAAAACTGTAGGGCACAGGCTTTCCATTTGTCGCCAGGCAGGGACATCAAATGTAACAATAGAAGGCGAGACACGGAAAGAAATATATATATATATATATAAAGCGCTACAGCGATGTTGAATAAACTGACCTTGAAAAACTCCGAATGCACTAGTACTTTGAAAGATTCAGCAAACAATGAGAGTTCAGGTTTTACAAGGAGTGGGAAATATGAAAAGTGACATCAATCCTCGATGGTTGCAGAAATCCCCATTGAAACGTTTATCAGACAAAATGACTGAACAAAGGATATTCTTCCTCATCTGGCTGTACAGTTATATGTATATGGATAATACTTCAAGAGTAATTGTTATCGGTAACTCTGATTTTTTTAAAATACTGATGTGTTTTAATCAATAGATTACAGTTCGAAAGTAGGTTTAAGTGATAATATACATAAAAATATTAAACTAAATATCAGGTAGAATCAGATGAAAATTTAGCCAACAATTTGAAATGATTGAAACCACAATAACTTGTAAATGTCTTAGGAAGTAGTGGAAATAGTCAGATTTTTACAGCTAAGTAATCATGGCCATGATAAACAACTCGGCTATACGGAATTTTTCTGAACGCTAAAGTTCTGCTTCTTCAGATGGATTCCGCGAAATTGAGATTAATCGGAATACGGCAGCTGACCTACAGTGCTTTGTTAACAAATCAACTTTTTGTTCAGTATATGTAACTGTAGAACGTGATGAGGAAGTAAAATCATTGCTTCTGTATTGTTCAGAGACGACGTGTCACCAAAAGCATTTCCGACAGGCTACTGAAGTCTCTGATATAGGTATAAAACTTGGGCACTGTGGTAGAGTATAACTCCATTATGGATAAGATTTTATTTTGATAAATCACACAGTGTTGTTCAGTTATATTAACTGATATATAAATATACATATAATATAACTGTACAACACTGTGTGACTTATCAAAATAAAATCTTATCCATAATGGAGTTACTGAAGTCTCTGTCAACAGCTTCCTTCGAGGGCTCCACAATGAAGATCAGATTGCCGGCCAGAAAGAACTGGCAGGAAGGAACTCTGCCAGCAAATCAACCAAGAACTTATTCCCCCACAAATATGCCGGGGAAAATAAAGATAGAATAGACGTAGTCTGAGGAGATCTCTGAGTGAAATCACACTTGAAGTAGGCTAACATGTGAAATCCGAATGGGAAATGAAGAAATGGGAATCGGTCCGAGGATTACATGGGGGTAATCGTGTAAAGAGGAGATGAGAACTTATAGGTAATCGTGCAGACGATTAAAGAGGATTTCAAGGGACATAAAGATATGTAGACGTCTTGTTGAAGCCCTATGTTCCACTTGGAACCCAAAGGAATAATGACTATATAATGTCAAGCCTATTTACTATCCTTTTGCCAGTGGTTAACAGGGGAATCTTGTAGGTTAGTGTTGTTCTGCTCTTCCCTCATCAGTTGGCTATATTTGCCCGATTGTTATGCCGGTAATTTCACTGATACTTGAACCTGTACAACATATAAATATTGTTTCAAAAACTACTAACACTGAAGTATGTGAATGTTAATCAACTCACAGCCTCTGTTAGTCTTTTAAACCCACAACTAATTAAGTTCCAGGATAAGAAAACTGTTTGGTTCATTGATTTCCTTACTGACGTTTTCTTATCTTTTAAAAGTGATTTTCTGTGAGGATCCCTTTTTTGTTTGTTTGTTTATTATATTTTGGCTTTATTTGTTGTTATTCTTGCCACTTTCCTTTTTTTTTCACCTACCTTCACTTGCCTTTCAAAATTTTTTTTATATGGCTTATTTCATCTGCCAGTTTATTATTATTCTTTACGAATAATAATAATAATAATGATAATAAAGAATAAGGTGTGTGGATTTTTATAAGCCATTGATATTAACAATCAAAAAAATATGAGCATCATGCATAAATGAGTATAAAATTTTGTTTATTTAAAAAAAAAAGACAGAAATTTTCATAATAAAACTACTTTCACCCGCACCCCAACCCCTTCCTCGCCGTTTTGATATGAACTCTTTCTCTTTTCTCTTTTATGAGCTCTTTGTTTACCTACTACTTACTGATGTATGCGTAAGTGTGTGTGTGTGCGTGCGTGCGTGTTTGTGCGTTTGTGCTCAGGTGTCAGCAGAGTAAACAGACTTTTTTTTTCACGCGTTATCGTGAAATGATAAACAAAAAGTTTGAATTTGTTTTATACACCTTAGATATATCTATCTGAGAATCATTTTGACAGATGACGATCATAATTAAACATTTATAAATTAGGGCGTGATTTGTTGATGAGTTGTTTAAGAAACAGATTAACATTTTGCTTACTACTAGTAGTATTGTTGTGTTGTCTGTGCTGGATTTTGAACTTATGCAGACAAATAAGAGCTTATGGCGAGTTGTCATCTGAGGTGGTGGTAACAACTAGTGGTATCCGTCAGGGATGCCATCCCACTGTCTCCATTTCTATTTAATTTAATCGTAGATGTACTAATGGGATTATCTCTAAACTGCTGACTTCAGAGACTCAGGGATTGACTTGTTACTACCAGGGAATAATTTCGTTGAC